ACCACTGTCTAACAACCAACCAGCTCCGAGAACCCCATCTTCGTCTTCGTCGCAGCTCAATCCGCCTCCGGCTGTGCCGCGCACCCCTCAGGCTCTGCAATCCCTAGCACCATCTCGGCACATCGACCGAATGATCAACTCCAACCACCACCAATCTCCGTCGAGGACCATCTACTCCGATAGGTTCATCCCCAGCAGATCCGGCTCCAACTTCGCCCTCTTCGACATCTCGAATACTCCGGCCGAGGGCCGCGATGACTCCTCTAGCGCTTACGCCACGCTCTTACGTGCCGCCCTCTTCGGCCCCGACGCCGCCGGTGTCGTCCCTCCGGCGACGCCAGAGAAGCGGAACTTGATTCAGATGAACCCGCCCAGCCCCAACATCTTCCGGTTCAAGACCGAGACTCGCCGGTCCATGCACTCGCTCTCGCCGTTTGGGTTCGATGATGTGGTCACTGGGGTTCACCATAGCCCGGTTAAGGCTCCTAGGAAGGTTCCCAGGTCGCCTTATAAGGTAAATTTTATCAATTTCTGGTCTTTTTGGCGATTTGGGTTCGGTTGGTGTTTGAATTTGGTCAATTGGGTTTATGGAGTTTTGTTTCTTGTTCAGGTTTTGGATGCACCTGCTTTGCAAGACGACTTTTATTTGAATCTTGTGGATTGGTCTTCGCATAATGTGCTGGCTGTTGGGTTGGGCAATTGTGTTTATTTGTGGAATGCTTGTAGTAGTAAGGTGAGCTCTTGCTTCACTGACTTTGCTTCTGTTTTCTAACTCTACGTTATTGTTGTAATTTTGTTTGGTTGAGTATTACCTGAGGCAAATGTACGTTCTCCAATGTCACAAGTCACAACCTTGTAGGTTTTTATGACTGTTCTGATCATCTAGTGTGTTCTTTTCGTGGTGTTAGTATGAAATTTTGCTAATTTGAGTCTTTGCCTGTATAAATTTTTTTAACTTGATCATTGTATGTTACTTCCAGGTAACTAAGTTATGCGACTTGGGGATTGATGACAGTGTCTGTTCCGTAGGCTGGGCTCAGCGTGGGACTCATCTTGCTGTTGGAACTAGCAATGGGAAAGTCCAAGTAAGAGATACTTGTACATGATATCAGACATGTTGCATTCTTATAGGTTTAAAATTGAGATGCTATTTTTTATATTTTAATATTGCAAATTGGAATTAAAGGTGGACTTGCAACAACATCTAAACAGTAAGTGTTTTAAGCAACAAGTTTGTGACTTTATCATGTGAGATATGATCATCGGACAACATAATGCTTGAAAACTTTTATCTGAACGACGAAAGTTGTGGAAAAGTTTCGATATTAGAATATAGGCTACTACAAATAACAATGTCCTGTCTAGCTCAATAAAGGTGTAACAGCGTAAACAAGCCCCTGTCTGGTCTCCTTAGCACAGCCACTCCCACCAACACATCATATCAAATATTTTTGGTGCATAATTAGACATTATCGGTAGTACTTTATCATTCTAGAATCTCCAAGTATTGTTTTAATCTTAAGATTCCTTACTAGGTGTTCAGAGCTGTAGATAATCTATGTTACTGGTTTTTAGATATGACTATGAATAGGTTAACTGGGAACCTCCATCTCCTGCTCTTTACATTGTGACAGTGTTTGGAACTATGAGTCCAAACAGAATTGGATTCTGATTTTGGTGACTTTTTTATTTGATCTTTTTATGCACATTCACACATTGATAAACTTTCGACTTGTGGTCTGGTTATGTATAACATGCCACTTCTGTATCCTGCCTTTGTTGGAACCAGATTACATTGTGTACAATAATCAGGTTATGATTGAAAATTTATGTGATAAGTTGATATTCAAGACAGTTGCACGTGAGCAGTTTGTGGGTTAAGTTTTGTGCAGCATTACAACATGAACTTCGTATCTACCAACCTCTTATCTTTATTTCTTGGCATATTAGTTTTACTGTTAAACATGTGCATTTGCATATATGCTGCTGAATGATTAGCTGATGCACTCATTACCTACTCTGTAGATTTGGGATGCATCTCGTTGTAGGAGGATAAGAACTATGGAGGGCCATCGGCTGCGCATTGGAGCCTTAGCCTGGAGTTCGTCTATGTTGTCCTCTGGTAGCCGGGACAAGAGTATTCTTCAACGTGATATTCGTGCTCAAGAAGATTTTGTTAGCAAACTTTCCGGACACAAGTCAGAGGTCAGAATCCTTTATTTCATGTTCAGTTTGATTGAACTTGTGAGTTGAATAAAAGACTGCTAAACTTTTTGGACTCGAGTGTGCTTTCATGAATGTTACTCATTCTAATCCTTCAGTTTTCTAATTTAAACTTTGGGTAGTATACCAGTTGTTATGTTATTATCATATATGCTGCATGCGATATTCTGTTTAATTTATATTTTCTCAGTCTGAAAATAATTTTATTGTTCTTTAGGTTTGTGGACTGAAGTGGTCTTACGATAACCGTGAGTTGGCATCGGGCGGGAATGATAATAGAGTATGCTACATTTTCCTTTCAGCCTGACTTACGCTATGTGCATTGTAATTTGGTCATGCTTCCTATTCATAACTGATCATTTGTCCCTTGTATATACAGCTTTTTGTTTGGAATCAACATTCAACTCAACCGGTGCTGAAATACTGTGAGCATACTGCAGCTGTGAAAGCTATTGCATGGTCTCCCCATCTTCATGGACTTCTTGCATCTGGGGGAGGAACTGCAGACCGGTGTATTCGTTTCTGGAATACAACCACTAACTCACACTTGAGCTGCATGGACACTGGGAGTCAGGTGAAAAACTTGTTGGTTTGCTTAATATGCTTACTTTTCCTCTTGGTTTGCTTTAAATATTCATGCGGAAAGGAAGCTTTGCCCTATGGGGAATATTTAGTGAACCTAAACTGATTGCACTGGATGCCATTATTTCAATAGTTCCCAAACTTGTTGTTTCTTAACATTGTTCTTTTTCTAATGAGTAGATCATTCCACCCAATATAGAATGATGTAACTTCAATTTTTTACTTTGAACTTTTCCATGTATTGGTAAAGGGAGAAAACTGGGGTTAACACATTTGCAACTTGAATCTGATTAATTTTGCTGTGTTTTGCATCTAGATGCTAGATGAAAGGAAGAAATATGTTACTCAGAAAAACATGGATTTATCTCATTCGTGATGCTAAATGTTGATATATTTCTCTTCATAGAAATGAATTTAGTTGGTGACTGAAATCCCTCCCCCTCCCTCTTTCTAATAAGGACTGTGCTTCCATCCATTGTATATAAGCAGGTATGCAATCTCGTGTGGTCTAAAAATGTCAATGAACTTGTCAGCACGCATGGGTACTCCCAAAATCAGATAATAGTTTGGAGATATCCCACCATGTCCAAGGTACCGAAGTGCCAAAGTGCCAAAGTCTTGTGAATTCCTGTAACCAATAAATGTCTTTACTTCCATTTCTAATTTTCAATTTTCTTCTGCTGATGCAGCTGGCAACTCTTACTGGCCATACATACAGAGTTCTTTATCTTGCTATCTCACCTGATGGACAGGTAATGTACCCCCAATTCCTTCTAATTACCTGCCCTTTTTTTATGGTTATGCAAATTAATTGACGTTCCTTTATGCATATTCTGATCTATTACATTGATTATTGTTGTTTCAGACGATTGTCACTGGAGCAGGAGATGAAACACTTAGATTTTGGAATGTATTTCCTTCCCCTAAATCCCAGGTAAAAAGACTCAATAGTTGACGGAAATTAATGCATACTACATGCCATCAATTTGGTTAATAGATATTCCTTATTTGATAGTAATTGACTAGGGTATAATGTATATATAATGAGTGGCATTGATTATTCTGCGTTTGTGGTGAGGAACTAATTGTGTTCCATATCCTTGACATTCTACTGAGAACGTGAATTAAAATTGGTTTATGCAAGTGCTCTATATTGCATTTAGTTGTTCCCTGTGTTTTTCCCTTTCTTATGTAAATCAATACAACTCTTGTTAATCAAATTATTATTGCAGAACACAGAAAGTGAAATTGGAGCATCATCACTTGGAAGAACTGTGATCCGGTGACCTCCTGCGGGACTTCGATACCAACTTAGCAACCTTCGCAATTGCTCATATTGGCCGAGGAATGGGAATTGAATGAGGATTATATGTCATTTCTTTTTGACATGATAAAAGAGCTGATCAGATGGTAAACTTAAATCAACCCACAAATGACCAGGGATTTTGCTGGGACCTCAAAGGCTAAGACGAGAGTTGAAGCGATGATTGGTTTAATCTTTTTCAAATGTTTATTTATTCTCTTTTTCCCACTTCAGTAGTCAAAATATGTATAGATCGAGAGGGGGGGTTGTTATCAATTATTTTCACCTTCTCGGTGCTCCCTTGTATATTTAAAGAGAGAATACTGAAAGATAAGTTGGTCATTGTGGTGTAGTATCTTCACATTCTTTGTAAATGGATCACAATTTTTTCACATTTTTTACGCCAAAACTATAGAAGTTGGTGACGTCAAGGACAATGTTTAAGCTCAAATTTATACTCAACTCTTTTAAACTATTTAAAAATCTTAATTGAATACACCCTCCTTAGCATTTCCAGCATATGATGAACATCCCCTGTGATTATAGAATATGATTCAAAATGTCTGACAGAATCAGAATCCCCCGGTTTGTTAATGTGATTTATTATAATTGGGAAATTGGGCAAAAAAGATCACTCCTTGCAAACCTATTGGTCATATACCATCCAGCATATATTCATTGATGAGATATTATCTATAAATACTTATATATTGCACACTTAATCCCTTTGCACACTTTTTCATTTGCTCTCTCAAAACACTCTCTTTACTCTATCTCTCTTCTCCTCTCTGAAAATTTTGGTTTATTCTTCGAATCTTTGCTCTGCTCTCTCAGAGATGAAACCCCAATCATGCATCTCCTCTCTCCTTTTTCTGCATCTTGTGGGTTTCACTTCTCTTCTCTCTTCTCTTCTTCTGCCCCCTTATTATTCTCCCTCCCTCTCTCATTTGGGTCATCCTAATGTTCAACTTCGAACACTTTTGAGAGCCTTTTCTGCAACTTGGATTTGCTTAAGAGATGGATTTTCCTCAAGTGGGTCGTGAGCGCCTAGCGTCAGGCGGGTCCTTTTTTTAATATATATATATATATAGTTATTCTCTTATCCGGATGTCCGCACGTTATTATCGTGCGGATCCTATTGTAAACAGGCAGGAAAACAGAGAGGGGTAGTACAAAATACACTGCGTCCGCACGATAATAACGTCCGGATGTCCGCATAAGAGAATTTCTATATATATAACGTATAGCCGAACGGCTATACCCAGTTTTTAATTTTTAATTTTAAAAATAGTCCAGCCGCGCGGCTACACCTATTTTGACACATGGCCCCTAATCGCTCGGCGCGCCCTCTTTTGTTTTTCATAAATCGTATAGCCGGGCGGCTATACTCGATTTAAATTTTTTTTTTTTTTTAAAAGTATCGCCGCTCGGCTTTACTGTTTTGACACTTGGCGCCTAGGCGCTAGGCGGTCCTTTTTTAATATATATATATATATATATATAAATAGTATAGCCGACCGGCTATACCCGGTTTTTAATTTTTATTAAATAGTATAGCCGATCGGCTATACGCGCTTTTTATGTTTCTAAATAGTATAGCCGGGCGGCGACTCCTATTTTGACACGTGGAGGCCCAATCGCTGGGCTCTTTTGTTTTCTTTTAAAAATAATATAGCCGCCCGGCTATACGCGATGAAATTTTTTTTTTATAAATAGTATAACCGCGCGGCTCTACCGGGTTTTTTTTTTTAATAAATAGTATAGCCGGGTGGCTGTACGGTTTCGGACACTTGGTTCCTAGTCATTAGGCGGGTTAGTATAGCCGCCCGGCTATACCCAGTTTTTAATTTTTATTTTAAAATAGTATAGCCGCGCGATGATACTCGATTTTATTTACGTTTCTTAAAAATAGTATAGGAAATAGAAATACCGCTACCAGTGCAATCCAAATTTAATCTGCAAATGCCACTTGTACCCACACATTTTGCAAATATATACTTATTGGTCACTTAACACTTTTTCTCACTTTTTTTTTTTCTCTCTCTCTCTCTCTTTTGCTGTGTTTGGATTTGAGCTGTTGGATTGATCTTTATGTTTCTTACACCATTCTTTCATAGTTTAGAATATTGTAGACTATCACTTATATTAAAGAAAAAAAAACCATAATAGAAAAACATATATCGAATCTATCTCTTTAAATATTCATCTACTTTTACAATTTAATAGTTGATGCAAATAACGCACCAACTACATTTACAGTAACTTGGCAAACTAGAACTGGAACATACTGATGATAGATAGCACACCACCATTCAAGAACTGTTTCATTCACTGATTCACAGTTCTTGAATGGGATTTGGTCTGGCCATGAATAAATCTGACTTCCTAAAACAAAAGACCTTCCAGAAAGCCAAAAGGAACAAATATGTTTCTATTTACATCAAATCAAACAAACTAAGGAATTTTTTTTAGTTTGTTTCTTGGGTTTGGCCGTCAAAGCTCTGCTGGGGCCCATATCTAGTTTCATTTACATGGGGAAGCTCTTGGGGCCATGGAACCAAACTCAATGGTGGGAAGCAACAGTTACACTCTTCTTGGCATGGCGCTGGCAAGTCCCAGTTGCTTGGAGAAGTTTCCTTCTCGTTTTCCTCGAGGGCCCCACCTGGCGTACTTCTATAAGGTGCTGCTGCATCACTGAGTGGGCCCCAACATTCCACCTTGTTGAATTCTGGAATGCTTGAGTGGAAGTAAACCCAAACCGAAGCCTCCTGCAATTCTGGGTAGTTGCTGAACAGATTGCCATCCCCATGAACAAAGGCCTTCAAAACCTATTTAGATATTGGTTATAAATATTAATAAAGATCAAAAAGACAAAATTAAACAGTAATTAAGAGTAATTAATTAATGACTTACAACAGGAAGTTCTTTGCAGAAGATGAAGTATCTCAGCCTTGCAAACAGATCTAGAAGGAAATGACCTCCACTTATGTGGCAGTGAACATGAAGAGACATATTGTCCTTAACTTTCTTCCACTCGGCCACAACTTCATCTCTCTGTAACTTGTTGTACCACCCTTGCAACTGCAAATCAATTTCCCCAATTTTCAATCCAGAAATTTTCTTTTTTATCTACACCAATAGCTAATAACATAAACAACAATCCCCTGTTTGATCTCCTCTGTTAAATTTTTTACTTGAGCCTCAAGAAAAACATACACAACACTCAAGTAAAGGCACAAACCTGAGAGTTGTCTATTGTCTGTGAAATTGCCAGAGTGAGTTTTGAGGTGATATCACTGTGAGTAAGGGTGTAAGTTCTTGGAAGCTTCCCTGGGTGCTTCTGCTCATCCACTCCTAAAAACAGAACCTTCAGCTTTGATGCTTCAAATATGGATGGCCCAAATAGCCTTGCAACCTAATCAAACAAACCCACAAATCCATTTCAACCATTCTTGTCCAAAATAACCCACACACACACCAAAAAAAAAAAAACCCCCAAGAACAATTTTGTGATTTTTTTTTTTTTAATCTTTTTATTTTATATATTTAAAATCATTTTTTGTTCCAATATTGCCCATTATCTTAGATTACTTACCTTAATGAGATAATTAGCCAATATTATATTTCTTTCCTTATCCAATTTACCCTTGCCCATTATCTTCGATTACTTACCTTAATGAGATAATTAGCCAATATTATATTTCTTTCCTTATCCAATTTACCCTTGCCCATTATCTTCGATTACTTACCTTAATGAGATAATTAGCCAATATTATATTTCTTTCCTTATCCAATTTACCCTTGCCCATTATCTTCGATTACTTACCTTAATGAGATAATTAGCCAATATTATATTTCTTTCCTTATCCAATTTACCCTTGCCCATTATCTTCGATTACTTACCTTAATGAGATAATTAGCCAATATTATATTTCTTTCCTTATCCAATTTACCCTTGCCCATTATCTTCGATTACTTACCTTAATGAGATAATTAGCCAATATTATATTTCTTTCCTTATCCAATTTACCCTTGCCCATTATCTTCGATTACTTACCTTAATGAGATAATTAGCCAATATTATATTTCTTTCCTTATCCAATTTACCCTTGCCCATTATCTTCGATTACTTACCTTAATGAGATAATTAGCCAATATTATATTTCTTTCCTCATCCAACAACTCTTAATGAGGTAATCTTATTATTATTATTTTATGTTGAATATATGCTCAACTTTTAATCAGGTTCAGTTATTTTGTTCTTTTTAGTTGTTCTTTTATGTATAGTATACCGGAGACATAGGTACGTAATACATTTTTTGATATATTTTTCTTCATATATATATCTAAATTATAGGTAACATATTCCTTTAACAAAAGAAAAAGTTATTAATTGACTTGTGTTTTGACATACATGAGATATAGGTACCACACTTTTTTGCCTTTTTGTTTATGAATCTAAGTTATAGGTAACATACGATTTACCATTTATCTTTTTTATGTACCGGAGATATAGGTAGTTTTCTATTTTTTTATCTGACTTATAGGTAGTTTTCTAATTTATGTTCCTAACTTATAGGTAACATGATTTATCACTAAGTATTTTTCGTTACTAATAATAACACTATTTACTTGTATGTCAGGTATATAATTTAATGTGGGTGCTTGTATTGGTATAATTTGTGAGTCTTTACTTTGTATTGATTAAATTGTATTTTGTCCATATATTAGGAATATTATGAAGGAAAGAATTCAAAATTTAAATTGTGGAATTCAATTACAAGGAAATAATGTATTAAATTTAGATTTTCAATGTGTTTTCCTTATTTACCTCAAAGG